GTAAGTTTGAGACAAAAGAGCAGAAAATTCTGAATATCTTGTGGCAAAAAGTGCTTCTGTAAAGTTTGGCTAAAGTAAGTTTATACAATCTTCTAAACCGTCCCGGTGTCGTTGTTTAGGTTAGTGTACGCGGACATATCGCATTGGTACAATTTTAACTCAATGATAATGACTCAACTGTCGTAAAAAGCTTTGGTATAGGTGGTACCAAGGTGCTGGGTGCATAGGCCCCTTCTAAACTGTTTGAAATCTAACGACACGCATCCTAACCTCTGCTGGACGGTCGCTCATCTTCTGCTTTGTTTAGGGACGGCGCTACGCCACGCCACCTCCTCAGTGCTACCTTCTTCTTGTTCCTCTTATCGGGCAACTTCCTCATCGTGCCCCCAGGCGAACAGACCCGGCCCTCGTCTATGAAGGCAACATTAAAGATGGATGAATGGCGGCCGTGGTTGACAAGTGACAAGTGACAGAGTCGACAAGGTAAGTAAAGGAACTCTATATCACGAGACAACAACACTGGCTTCCGAGAAAGTGCGCACGAGAAGTGATTGATTCAGACAAGAATGGCATAGCGCAGTTTAGGCTGGGCGGAGGCATGCGTGGCACACACCTCCACCTCGAGGACACCGCTCTGTTGGCGCCAGGCGGCTCCCCGCCCCGCCCCGCCCCGCCCCGCCGCGGGGGCCAATGAGCCACGACGAGCACGTGCCGTTCTGGAATGGACGTTCAGCGCGTCCGCGGCTCCGCGTCTCCGCTGCCCTCCTCACCTTGGCCAACTCCTGGTCGCCACGCCCCGCCACGCTCCTGCGTCCGCCTGTCTGCCGCCCGTCAGCCCGGACTAGTCCAAACGACAGGGAGTCCTATTGTTTTTTCGCATTCTGCTGCTGGCTGCTGGCTGCCCCTGCAGAGTATACAGTCGGCGAGTGGGGGCGGCGGGGAGGAGGGTAGGGGGAACAGGGCGTTTCAGGAGGACGACGACATGGAAAGCACATCTCGCTGACGAGTCCGTGTTCGTCGTCGCCGATGAGGTGCGGCGGGGGGGGGGGCGGACAGGCGGCGGCAGGCCACACCCTGACGTCAGTGAGGGACCTGCTCTAGTTCCGCCCCGCCCTCTCTCTCACACACACGCGCGCGCGCGCTCGCTCGCACACGCACACACAAACACACGCGCAGAGTTGATAAATCGGTACGGGTCGATATGATTAAACGCTATCAGCTATAAACACACATTTTTTTTCGCACCTGTGGCAGGAGGCTGGTCCGCGCTCCCGGCCGCCCGCGCGCCGCCCTCGTGCGTTCGGCTATCTCCGCTGATAAGAAGACGACCCCCCTCCCCCCCCCCCACTTCGACCGGGACCGGGTCATTACCGTGGATAAGGGGGATATAGGTCCGCTATATATCGGCGTTCGAAGCCCGTGTAGGGTTCCGGCCGCTGCGGGGCGGGGCCGCGAGGTGAGGCGGGGACGGGACGGGACGGCCAGCGTCCTCCACGCGGAGAGAAAAACGGTCGTGCCTCTGCTGGACCAGTCCTCCAGGCCCCCGAAGGTTTTCTGCTCAACAGGAAAGTTCCGCGCGGCTGTTGCGCGCCTGTTCCGAGCTCGGAGCTGGGAAGCTAGGCAGCTGGGCAGCTGGGCTGGGTAGGGCGCCGAGCGAGAGGGGCCGTTGGGCCCCCTGCCCAGCCTGTGAGTGTGCGTGAAAGGGAGAGAGAGCGAGAGGGGGGAGAGGAGAGTGATGCTGGACGTGGCGCGGGTGGCGCCTCGGCGGCGCCTGGCGCTGGGGGTGGCGGGGGTGCGAGGCTGGCGTCGCGTCGCGGTTGCCGGGAGGTAAGTCACACACGGGCTCAACAGGTCGTTGGCGGTCCAGCGACCTCCGCAGCCTCGCCTCTCGCCCGGACCACGCCGGGGCCGGGGTCAAAGGGCGTGGGGATCTCTGTTGGGGCAGTCTCGGGGCGCTCTAGGCGGCGCCGCAAAGGGGCGGAGGGGCGGAGTGGTGCGGGGCGCGCGGAGAGGAGCGAGCTGCACAGTAGTAGTTTCCCTTCCCGCCGCGGCGGACCGCTAAAAATACTCGGCCAAATCTAAATGCGGTCCAACTGAGGGGCTACTACTTGTCCGTCCCGCACCGTCTCCCCTGGCCAAGCCGAACGTCCCGCCGTCGCACCGCCGCGCCCCACCCGGCCGCCTCGCTCAGAAGAACACCCCGCTCCGCGTCCGGCTCGGAGCCTGGCCCCGTCCGGACCAGAACACAAAGACAACAGCCTCCTCATCTCCACCTGATGCTGTTTGTGCTGTTTGTGAATAACCGGTCCTGGTCCTCCGCGGGCAAGGCTCCCTCGTGAAGGCGCCGTCAACACCCGGCCCGGCGGCACCCGGCGTGTTGCCAACCGGGCTGCCGACCGAGTCCACACAGCCCGACCAGGCCCGGCCACCAGGGAATGGCACGCTTAGACGACACTGCTCGCGGCCGCGTCTCAAACGACCCCGAGAAGTGCCTCCTCCTCTGCCACTTGTGGGGGCCATAGGCCCGCGACCGCGACGCGCGCGATCTGAGGTTGACGCAAACGACTTGACGCCGTGCACTGCAGACCCCGCGGCGCCGCGGACCCACTCGGCTCAGAGCTAAACGAAAACAATCAGTGGCCCACTGCCCGCTTGCCCCGTCGCCCCACCCACACACACGGCGGCGAGGCCTGACGCTGCACACACACACATACGTTCGCGCGCTTCGAGTTGTCACGATGCATTTCCCATTGATTCCTGTGCGGGCTCTGCTCTGGCGTGGCGGGCGCGGCTGCTTTTTGCTTCGCCGTGCCCCGTGCCGCCCTGGCAACGAAACCACCTTATCTCTCTGGTAGGTTTTCACACCACTACACGCTAAACTACACGACTGAGCGCCGCCACGCCACGCCACGCCACGCCGCGCTGGCTTAGATGTTTGCAGACACGCCCATAATCTCCCCCATTCGTGCCAGAAGAGGCGGCGGAGCGGCGGCGCCGCGGCGAGAGAGGGCCAGTCGCGAGCAGTCTATGCGATACAATATATCCACTCCGCGAGTCTTTAAATTCTGCATAGCTTGTCAAAGTCCTTCGCTTCGCACTAGGTGTGTTACTTGTATAGCCCTTAACTTAGAAAATTGTCATTTTCGATCGTCATGGATGGGGCCGAGCCGCCTTCGTGAGCCTGGACCTGGACGCGCGGGATGACGGCGTCCTGGTCGGCCTGGCCAGGCCGACGTGTTCCACACGGGGACGGGGGTGGCGGCGGGGGGAGTTAAATCGCAGGGACCCAAATCATCGCAGGCGGCGGACAGCCGTCCCTCTCGTTTATCCCGCTGCCCCCGCGCTATAGTGATCGATGTGGACGGGTCTCGAAAAATATGTCGTCTCCGAGTGGAACAAGGATAAATACGCACGAGCTCTTTAATGAACCTGCGCGTAGGCGGTGGGGCCGGACAGGCCGGGGGCGGCGGGGGCGGCCGTGACACATCATCTGATTGGCGAGGGGCGCGTGTAGGGTTGGGGTGGACGCGGGGGCGCCGCGCCGGAGTCCATCGTGCCCCACGGTCGGCGCGCCCCGTCGCCATAGCTACGCCGAGTACTACTACTACTACTACTACTACCCCTTGGCGACGGCCTCGCCCCTGTCCCCACCCCACGGCGACTGCCCCGCCCAGTAGATGAGGTTTTATAAAGTGGGGTCACCGCCCCCGCGCCCCCGCCTTGTCCAGGGGGTGGTTGGCGTGGCGGCGGGTGGCAGGGCGGCCAGGCAGACCGCCCCCATGGCCCCCATGGCGTCATCATTCTCTGATTTCCGGGGGGCGGATCGGCGTACGGTGAGCCCCTGCCGCCCCCGCTGTGCCCGGCTCCTCTGCCCCCGCCGCCGCGACGGCATCGTTGTCGCCCGTCGCCGGCGCAGCAGGTGATTCGATTCAATTCAATTGAGTCGTGGCGGAGGAATGGCCTCCCCGGCGCGGGCGAGTGAGTCACTGGAGTGCAGCTCGACGCGCGTCACGCGTCACCGTCAGTCACTCGGGGAAGTAAGTGGAGTGACACTGCCACCGCCGCCAGCCGGCGCGGGCTGCAGACTGATTCCGAAGAGCGCTAAGGGGGCGCCTGCCCAATGAGTGCGACAATGACGGAGCTATACGGGAGGTATAGGATCGCGCTCTTCGGAAGCAATCGGCTGGGGGTGTCGCCTGTTGTGAGTGGAAATGCCCCGCGGAGTACCTCGTCCGGAGCCAACTCCCGATCGCGCCGCCAATGTGGCATGGCGATGGCACCAGCGCCAATGCAAATGTGTCCTAGAGCCGCGCGGCAGGCTGGCGGCAGCGCGACGCACCGCGGCCCGTCCGGCCCGTGGCGTGGAAGAGGAAGGAAAGCTGGGTGCGGAAGGGGTGGAGGGGGAGGGGGGGCATATCTGATTAGTGGTGTAACCCAACAGCTCGGCTCGGCACGACTGGCCGCGACGGAAACGTCATCGCCGCCGCCATCGGCCCGGCAAACGAGCTGCCAATGTCAAGGCGGCCGGGGGGTAGGCAAGGCGGCAGGTCAAAGTGCACGCGGGGCGGGGCGGCGGAGAGCATCTGGGTCCGCCGTCGCGGCGACTCCGGCTCGCCGACGCACGCACAGCCACGCACCGCGGCGGCAGCGGCGGTATGGGCCCCCCATCAGCACCGCCCTTCAGGAGTGACCCCAAACGGAGCCCTGGGGGGGCGTAGCGACGCGTAGCTCGGCGTCCTGGCGGCGGCGGTGGGTCGACACGCCCGCGGTTTTCGACACATGTTCGACGGGCTGGCCGGCGTGCGGACCGCAGAACGTTAAAAATACATGATGCACAAGGCTGGGCCTAAAGGCCGGGGCCGGCGGCGCGGTGTGCACCGTTTTTAATTTTGCTTTTATTTTCGCCATGCCAGACGGCCGTCCGTCCGTCCGTCTGCCTGTCTGTCCGTCCGGCCGTCCGGCGCGCTCTGGCCACGCACTGACGGTGTGCGGAGACTTACCTCTTTCGGCATGTTGGCGGCGAGAGGTCCTCAGGTACTCCAATAAAAGTTAATAATTAATCCTCTGGGCGGCTGGCGTGCAGTCGGGCTGGCGGCACAGGCGGCAGCGGCAAAGGCGGGCGCACCAAAAATAGCACTCGCAGGTTTTTTCCCTTCAGTCCTTGGTCTACTCAGGACACGCTTGTGCCCGGGGGGCTGTTCGTCACAAGTACTCGGAGCAGGACACGAACACGGACATTGTCACCGGCGCGTAATGCCGGCGGGGGTTGCTGACGGGGTCCAAGGAGGCCCTGTGTCCCCCTGGAGGGAAGACCGGGGAGGCTCACTCGCGGGCTGTTTCACACGCGACACTGGGGCGCGCGCGCGCGCGACACTTGGTGTATCCGCTGGAGGTCGGCGGAGAGGTGCTGTGTGGACTCGGCGGCCTCCCCTGGGCTGTCGCGGACGGGGTGTCTGACGGACGACGGGGACGTGTGCTTGTCGTCGCGCGTCGCGAGCCGAGCCGAGCCGCGTCGCGTTTGCGCCTGCGACCGTCTGAGTCGCTCGTGCCCGTGCTCCCGTCCGTGTGCGGCTCGGCTCGGCTCGGCTCGGCTCCTCGGCCCGCGGCGGAGGTGGTGGTGGTGGTGGTAGCAGCCGTCGCGTGAAGCCTTCACCTCCTGGCGCTACGTCCGCCACCGCCGCCGCTGCAGCCGGGCCGTGGCATGTCGGCCGGGCCCAGATAACACACACAGACGCACACAATCACCCACACACGCGCACATACGCCGCACTGACACTCACAGACAAACACAGCCGGCGCGGTTGAACCCGTCTGCGCATGCGCCCGGACGTCTCACTCGCACCCGCAGTACGCACGGTAAGCCCGGCAACTCCCCGGTGCTCCATCTATTACTCTTCTTGTACACGTTAATCATCCTTCCCCTTTACTTACTTACTTACTTACTTACTTACTTACTTACTTACTTACTTACTTACTTAC